ATGGGGCTGAATCATCACCCAGCCTTGGCACCAGCTATGCAAGGAATATGTATTTATGCACATAAAACTGAAATCTCAGTGCCTGTGTGCTGCTTTTGGCTGGGACAGAGTTAATTTTCTTCCCAGTAGCTGGTCCAGGGCTGTGTTTTGGATTAGCATGGGAATAATGTTGATAAGAACTGATGTTGTTGTGTGGCTGGGTTGTGCTTACTCCAAATCAAGGACTTTTCAGTTTCCCAGCGAGCAGGGGCACAARGAGCTGGGTGGGAGCATGGCCAGGATTCTGCTCCTCTGGACTGGCCAGAGGGATCCTCCATTCCACAGAATATCCAGAAAATGGGGGATTGGAACTCATCTGTCACTGCTGTGGGATGAGCTGGGTCAGGGGGTGGCAACAACTGTTGGGCACCTCTGGTTTCTCTTGGGTTTCACTCCTCTTTCTTTCCTTTTCATCATCATCATCATTATTATTATAATTATTACCATTATTATTGTAATTCTTCATCATCAAAATTTGTTTTAATCAGCTTTTAATCAGTTCTGTATAACCAGTAACGTTTAATCAGTAACCAGAACCTGCCTGGACTTTCATTTCTTCTAAACCATTGTGCCAAAACTCCACTTTGACCAATATTCCCATGGGCTGGGAGACTTTAGAGTCAAAGTTAGAACTTTTTCTTGCTAACAGCATTCCTGTGCAAGGGAATTCAATGCTGCTTTAGGTTTCCCTAAACTGAGCTGGGTCTCCCTGTGAGGAACCCACATTGTTCCCTCCCAGCATGGGGCACTTCCCAGATGGGAGAACAGTTTGAAATCAGGAAGAATTTCCAAAAAAAGAAATGCCTGGAACAGTCCAAAAAGGAGGARAATAAAACTCATCACTGAGATAAAACCAAGTCATGTTCTTTTTTCTGTCACTCTGTGGACACCTGATCCTCCCTGGTCTTTATCTGACACTGAGTTCTGAGTAATGTTCTCATTTTAGAAGAGCAAACTTTAAGCTTTAACTAATTTAATGTCTAAAGAAATCAATGTTCCACTACTAGAATGCTCTAGAATTGAACCTTATTTAAAGTTCATCTGCAGAGTGTGTAGGATGAGGTTTGGTGTTTGCAGCGTGGGGATTCACTGCATGACTCAAAGTTTCTCTAGGAAGTGGGGGCTGCCTGTTTTGTTCCTCTGATGATCCCAGAGATGTTTTTTTTCCTTAGGACTGGCCAGAAAGGAGGCTTTTCCTTGAACTGTCCATGTGTTACAGTAACCGAGTTCACCTGCTTCGATG